ACACAGCTGCAACTGTATTAACGCTGTAGAAAAACAAAAGCTCCATGCACCAGGGTAAAGGTTATACATTACGACTGTGTTATCCCAGGCACTGTACAAATCCAGAATGCAAGATTGTCCCTTGCTGGAACAGCATGACTTATTTTCCTTCTGATATGGGGAACTTTTTGCCTTTTGGAAGTGGATTGCTGATTCAAGTATAAGACATGATCATCATCAGTGTTGATCATCAGAGAGTCAAGTGATGCTATGGGATGACTTTAGTTCTTGTGCCTTCACAAGAGTAAATACCACCCAGAATTATGTTTAATCAGTAGTATTCTGTGTTCTACCCTACTTGATGGCTATACACAGCACTGTAAAAACTTGGTATTTCCATACTCAGCCTACATATACAAGTGGGTCTCAATTGCTCTTAAATTTGCTCCCCTGGGATATTCTTATATAGTGAATAGAGCCCTTTTAATTTGTTACTCTGGACAAAACCTGAAATGAATTCAGAAACTTCTGAATGACTGCTCAAAACTCTCTGCTCTCTCTCCATTCTCAGAACTAGTGGTCATAGTCTTAAGCCCAATATAAAATTGGTAGGGAACAGCAGTAGAGTTATGTACTTTCGGATGCACTTGTATTAGCGTTCTAGTTCAGGTAATTTTCTTCTAAAACGGCCTTCCACCATCTGTGCTTTGGCTCACATCGCAGAGTGCTTTGTATGTGGGTTCCCTTCAGATGAACCTCAACCAGAGGAAACCTCCAGGATTCTGTCTGCTGGGCTGCTGCTGTATACCAGTCCACAGGGCATACTAGAACTAGCCTAAAATAATTCCTCTTGAAATAGGTATACAGTTGATGTTGGGTCCTCAGCACCAACTGTTTTCTTGGAAGGAAAATACTGGCTTGTAGTTGTCAGTATTAATATTCCATATATTGTCTAGCCTTTAACTTCCAGGTGAAGCCTTGAGGTATACATGTGATCCACAAATCCTCTGGCTTAGCGTGTGCCAAAAAGACTGTGGCTTTCTTATGCACGTGTTAGTACAAAAGCTGTGATTTGCAGCAGTTTGTGATCTGGAGAACCTACTGAAAGAGTTCTATGTGTATGTTGAAGTGCATGTGTGTCTATAGCAATTTCTGTTTATTGAATGTGATACTTTAAAGTATGCATGAAATATGGCTTTATTTTTTCTTGCAAATTGGGTGAATTGAATTTAGCAAGACCATATAGAACCTGATTTGAGATTTATTTTTTTTTTTAGAAGAATCTTTCTTTAAATTTGATTGAAAGCGAAGTCTCATGATGTGGAGAAAGCACTCAATCAATTTTAAATTATCATAGACTCATAGAATGGTTTGGGTTGGAAGGAACCTTCAAGATCATTCAGTTCCAACCCCTTGCCATGGGCAGGGACACCTTCCACTAGATCAGGTTGCTCCAAGCCCCATCCAACCTGACCTTGAAAACTGCCAGGGATGCGGCAGCCACAGCTTCTCTGGGCACCTTCTGCCAGTGCCTCAGCACCCTCATAGTGAAAAACTTATTAATCTGATATTATTATTTTTATTAACCTTAGATGACACAATATGGAATTGTAGAGTGCTCTGATAAAAAATCTCCCATAGGATTATGTCTTGATTTCAAATGAGAAATGAGTAGTAATAAACAGAATATAATGTATATTGAAAGACATAAGTTAAAGTGCAAACACTCTGCAGAGTTCTTCTGCTATTTAACCATTGTTTTCAAGAAGAAAATCCAAATAGGTTGTCTCTCTAAAGAGCTCACTAAAATAGCCTAGTGAGCTCGGGAAAAAATAGGTTGTGCTTAGGCAAGAAGAAACTAGACATGAAAAGTAATTGTGATCTCAGTACAGTTTCTTTACTCAGATGGAGTGGGAAAATTTCAGTGTTTCTGTTTTGAAGATGAAAGTAGACATACAAGAATGATGATGATGTGGAACAGGTCAGTTTGCATACTGCATACCAGTTTTCATAAGAAGGTTAAGGAGATAGGCAATTGAAATCGATAGGTGACAGTTTTAAAAATGAAAAAATGAAATAAATTCTGATGGAACTGTTCAGTGTAGCTCTGTACTGTAAGATCTTTTTTCCATCACTGCTATGAAACCATACTTAGGACAAGCATCACTTCAGATGCTGTTCTAGATCTTAAATGATCCCCACCATGTCATTCTTGATCTTTTTCAAACATTTGTTTCAGCTTTTCATCCTGTTGGTTCATTTCTGCTAAACTTTTCATTAGGCTCAGATATATGTGACTTGTCTTTGCTTTCACTGATTCCTTCAAGGCCTTTGATAACTGCTTACTAACTTCTCATGAAAAATCTCATGATTTTTCTAATCCTGCCCACTTGGAGCTTCAATCGGGCATTTTTAGGGCTTTTTTTTTTTCTATAATATCATGTATATGCAATACTCAGATATTGCTGACCAAAGGACTAGGAAGCCTCCTTTGTGAGGAAAGGCTAAGAGAGCTGGGTTTGTTTAGCCTTGAGAAAAGAAGGTGCAGGGGAGACCTTGTCACCATGTTCCAGTATTTAAAGAGTGACTACAAAGAAGATGAAAACTCCCTTTTTTCCAAGGAGTCCCATGGAGAAGACAAGGGGTGACTAGCCCAAGTTACTCCTTAGGAAACTCTGGTTGGACACAAGAGGAAAAATTTTCACAATGAGAACAATCAGCCATTGGAATAATCTCCCCAGGGAAGTGGTGGATTCCCCAGCACTGGACACTTTAATGATTCAGCTGGACAGGGTGCTGGGACATCTAGTCTGGGCCATACTTTGCCAAGAAAGGTTGCTACCAGATGATCCTTGAGATTCCTTATGATGTGGTATTCTGTGATTCAAATATGCAAATAAAAGTTCCTCTAAACATACACAAAAATGTTAACTTCAAATTTCTTTCTTTTCCTGTGGTTTATGAAAAAGCTTGACAGTGATTAAGTTGCTGGTGTGCAAAACAGTTGATTATCTTGATAAACCGTATTAACTTGCTGCCTTGTACTGCCCTGTCCATGGCTGTTGACTGGTATATTCTTGGTTTGTAACACCATTATTGCTGCGATGTGTTTGTGTCCTGGTTCTGGATCTTAGTTTGTGATCACTGGTGAGGGGGCTACTAAAAAAGCAAGATAAAAAGTGGGAAATTAATTTAACAGAACTTGGAAAAGAATGTTCTGATAAGAGATCTCAGCCTTTCTGTATCCGCATCTAACCCTACTGCCAGCTCGGACGGGTGAAGGGTGGGTTACTCCACAAAAGTTGTTCTGTTATCACCTGCTCTGGGATTCCCCACACTTACCAGTTACAGTGCTGGCAAAAAGAGTAAGGAAAGAAGCTGGGTGGCTTGAGTCTGCTCTGGAGCCACTTCTGTTTTAGGTGTCTGAATGCACAGTTTTGATGCGAAGAATTTGATATATTTTCTCCACATGTCTTGATTTTGAAGTTCATTAAGGGTGTGGTAGTCTGCAGCCCAAACTGACCACAGTTCAGCATACGTACCTGATACAGTTTTAGGCAGCCTAGTTAAAAGTATCAGTAGCAAACTATGGGCAGCATCACAGAACCATGGTAAAAAAGCTGCAGTATCTGTCAGTGAAACAGAGTTGAGCAGAACAGCCTCTTACATTGAGCTAGGTGCTGCTGCTAGGTTTGTATCAATAGTTAAATATTTTAATTCCACCTGTTAATCTGATTTAGGAAAAAATGTCATCTCTAGGCTTGCAACAATTAAAAGTAATTTATGGATCACAAAATAAAACATTAGAGCTCTGGGGCCCCCAACACAAGAGGGATGTGGACCTGCTTGAGCGAGTCCAGAGGAGGCCACAGAGATCCTCAGGGCTGGAGCACCTCTGCTATGGGGACAGGCTGAGAGAGCTGGGCTTGTTCAGTCTGGAAAAGAGAAGGCTCCAGGGGGACTTTGGAGCAACTTCCAGTGCTTAAAGAGCCCAACAAGAAACCTGGAGAGGGACTTTTGGCAAGGGCCTGCAGGTATAGGACAAAGGGGAATGGCTTTAAACTGAAAGAGGAGAGCTTTAGATTAGATATTAGGAAGAAGTTCTTTACCGTGAGGGTGGTCAGGCACTGGCACAGGTTGCCCAGAAAAGCTGTGGTTGCTTCATCCCTGAAAGTGTTCCAGGCCAGGTTGGATGGAGCTTGGAGCAACCTGGTCTAGGGGAGGGTGTCCCTGCTCATTGCAGGGGGCAGGGACTGAATGGTCATGAAGGTCCCTTCCAGCCCAAACCATTCTGTGATTCTGTGCTTCTGAAAAAAATAGTGAAGTCTGGTATAAAGATCAACTTTATAATTCCTGAATTTGTAGGTATTTTATTTCTATCATTAAAAAATAAAATGGCAAAGAATAAACAGACCACTGAGTCAGCAGGTGTAAAACATCTTCCCCTTCTAAATCTGTTTCTTTCAGTTGAATACTGTTACCTTCATGGAGGAGCAGCTCTAAGGACAGATGGTATAAAGGTTTGCCTAGTGCAAAGTCCTATTTTCAAGGGAAATTTTCATGTTCTGTTCTTTGAAGGGCTATTGACTACCAAATCACACACGTACATGCCTCTGATCTTTCTGAAGATGAGTCACAGTTCAACTTGTATATCTAAGCACTGGGATCACATTTGCAGTATGTTGATCACTCCTGATGACAGGACCATGATGATCTCATGTGTGGGGTTATAAAGTGTGCATTACTAAAAAAGAGGAGTTAGAGCTATTAAAAACAGAATGCTAGGGGGTTTGCTGGTTGTTTCTTTGAGGGTTTTTTATTAGTATGCTGCTGTAGGTTTTGCAGTATAACAAACATTACCTTGAGCTTAGTGGCTCTAAATGCCGGGTTAATTTACACTCCGAGCGGACCTTTCAGCGTCAGGCAATCTTTTTTGCCAACATAAGCACTCAGCTGAAACAACAGCTATGACTCAGTTGCCAGTGAACGCTGCTTGAATTGATTTAGTCTGAGTTCAGATTTAGCACATAATCATGTTCAATTTGATCCGCTGTGCTGCCTAGAGATAAAAGGGTTGAAAAAAATAGATTTAGATTATGTCAGTCTTTGTGGTGATGTCATTGCCATGAGAGATGGAATAGCGCTGTTACTATGCTGTGCCTGCTCAGTTGGTGGGTGTACGGGGGAAAAGCAAGGAGCAACTCAGTTAAGTGCAAAGAGCTTGTGTCGGAAGCTTGCAGTTCTTGTCAGCATTGAAACAGGATCTTGGACTGTACAACTGCTATACTGACGTGAAGATTTGGTTTTTTTCTTCTAATCATTTGTAACTCCGAGGTTGCCTAACTCTGTGTACAACAGAGGGGGATGCCAGCCCGTAGCATGGACTGTGATATCTCCACTCTGGTTGCCTGTGGGGTTGATGTGGAGGTTTTTGCCAACCAAGAGGTTAAGGTATGCGCCTACAATTCTTTTGTTACAGACGCTTCTTAGAAAAGCCTTTGGGAGCAATAGGCATTTGTATGTAGCAATTCAGACTAAGGAGGCAGATGTGATTCTGCTGCAGTAGTAAAAGTCACGCAGTTAAAAAAAAATCTGTTAATTAGGGGAGAGGAATATGTGAGAGAAATGTGCCTGCTTTTTACTGTGTTTTCATAAGCTGAAAGAATAGGCTGGTGTTTACTCTTTAATGATATAAGAAATGGGTTATATAACTGACATCTGTGTATATGCATGTTTCATACTCATAAAAAAACATTCATTGTTACTTTTGGTGAGATATTTTTAGCCCAGTGTCAGCCTTGCCACTGATGTTATTTATCAATGTTCATAATCTTCACATATTTTCTCTCAGTTGAACAGAAGCTGTTTCTTCCCTTCAGATCCAGATCATGTGTCCAAGTATAAATTTTTTGTGAGGGGTTAAAAGTTTGGAGCCAGTATTTTGGTGAATTTGCAATATAACAGAATACAGAAAGTTGTGCATCTTGCGCATCTTATGAATACCTCAGAAGCGATGCTTAAAGGCTTGATAAGGTGGGCTCTTAATTGTCTCTTAATTAGACATTTGCCATAGAAAAGTCATCCTGTGTAATTGCTTACTGTTGAAATCAATTATCATCTTCTTTTATTCTCATATTGCTGCAAGAAAATCACTGCAAATTAAGTTTGAAAGAGAAATATTAAGTATGCTTTTCAAAGATCATCTGAAAGAGCTCATAGGCATAATACAGTGATATCCAGCAGTTTATTTAAAGGACAAAGATACAGACAACGCTAGTTCCTAATCTGATTGCTCTTAGTATTCAAAAAATGGAACAGGGAAGAAAAGGATTTAATTGGAGGTCAAATTTTGAATCCCTGTGCTGTTTAATTCTGAGTCAAACATTGAAGCTAATGGAAGTATCTGGAAATAACACCACTTTTATTTGCAAGAGATCAGTATGGGGTTTATTTCCCTGTTAATTTGTTACCAGGTGCTGTCATGTGTACTTTGTACAGATGCTTTTGTGTTGCCAGCAAGAGATTCTTCTTAATTTAAAAAGCTTCTTCTTAACAGTTTAAAACTGCATTTAGAGATGAAATTCAGAGGAATGATGAAATAGATGAATAGATGAAATAGAGAGTAATTCAGAGGAATGGTTCAGGTGAGCAGCCTTGCCTGCAGTGGGACATGTTTTCTGTAGTGTTTTGAAGTAGTAAAATGTTTGTCTGCTTATTCCTTTTTTTTTTTTTTTTTAATTCTTCCTTAAGAACATATATATATATTTTTATTTAGGTGTTACGTCTGTGTTGTGATGAGTTTGTATCTGGAGCAACTGTCTTTTAGTGACATGTCGACATTCAACATAAGACTATGCCAGATGTTAGAGTTGTAGTGATCTCTTGTATCCTTATTTATGACAGTAGCAATGAAAAAGCAAAGTTTTGGTTTCCATGAAATCAGCAGAAAGCCTTCCATGGACTTTGGTTAGACTTAGAGGAGCCTGATTTAAGCTGCAGCATTTGGAAAGTGTGGCCCAGGAACACAGGTAAAAGAGAACAAAAGGGTTACAGAGACATTACAGAAATTGTAATCCTTTTCATTACTTATAGTTAAAACTGCCTTTATATTTTTCTTTTTTTTTACTGATGTCTGAATTAAAATGTTGAGTGCAAAGACTTTGGGTACTTTTCCAATGGGGACTTCACTGCAGACTGCAGTGCAGCTTAGACGCAAAGCCTACTTTGAAGTTGTTTGGCTTAGATGCTAGAAGCAGCCTGTCCTTGGTGACCCACAGCTCACTGCAGACTAATTTTCACTTAGTTGTGCCCAAACTCGACTGCAGGAGGCTGCATGCAGTGCTGCCGCAGCACGCCTGCTGCCCGTGCTCGAGCCTTGCCAGCCCTGCTCTCAGCCCCAGTTGCTACACAGCAGGCTGTAGTGTAGCATCCCCTTTGTAAAAGTTTCAGCGCTACTGATAATCCAAAGGTGGAGACATCTGCTGCTCTTTGCTCACTCCTAGGAGAACTGCAGCAAAATACAGTGGTTTTATTTGACTGCAAAAGGGGTTCACTTCAAGATGTTGGGTTTTTGTTGACAGAATGGTCACAGTCAATATGATAATGTTTGTGTTGGCTTTGGCAGGATAAAGAGAACATCAAGCTTTAAGTTTGAAAAGGAAGGAGGCTGTTTCTGAGAAGAGATGGATGTGGAAACTGAAGTAAAAGAGCAAAAGCAAGCACATCAATCCTGCCATCTCCCCTTCCTCTGTTCTCCCATGAGGCTTGGGCGATGTGACCTAGTGTGAGGAGTCCCTGCCCATGGCAGGGGGGTTGGAACTAAATGATCTTGAGGTCCTTTCCAACCCAAACCATTCTATGATTCTGTGAGTACTGCTCTGCCCAGCCCTTTTGCCGGCCAACTGGGAGGCACAAGTACTACTGGAAACTGAAATCTAGGCTATTGTCCTTCCAGTTGTCTTCTGCTATACAGCTCTTCATGCAGGGGAAAGTTGTTTTTGTAGAGAACCTTCTGGCAGTGCGAAGGAAATGTTCCTTCAGTGGTAGAACATATGTATTAAGGATTTCATGATACATGTGTTGTTTGATGAGATTTCCTAAAATGAGCTATTAGCACTGTAGAAGTACTTTTCTAATGTGAGCAAGGATTGTGGTTTAGATTTGCCTGCAGCATAGATGGCTTTCATTTCAATGTAGGTTTAGAACTGATGTGGGGCTCCAGAGAAAGATGCTGGCTGTACTGAGCCACCACTGTCCTGCTTATGGTGGGTGGCTGGAGAGGAGCTGCCCCATTTGCCAGACCTGTGCTGGAAGAGCAGGGTTTGTGTTGGGGCTGTGGAGCAGGAGCTCTCACAGCAGATGGCAATGGTCATTCCTTGTATTTGCTACTCTTCAAGAGAAGTGCTGGAGGATTCTCACACAGAGAAGCAACACCTGCTGCTTGGCACAGGGCTTGGGGCAGAGTTGAATGGCTTGTCTTAATGCTTTTCCACCTGTGGAAGTGACCTTATTCTGTAGGCTCTTAGCATCTGACATACAGCTCAGAAATACTCTTTTCCTCCATTTGGCCTGTGAGTGATTACTTAGTACTGAAGGCAAAGCTTTCTAGTTTCAGCACTGGGAATGGCTCATCCTTTCAGGAAACACATGCTTGTTTGGATGCCCTGAAACTGGCAGCTGGCCTGCAGCACTGACACCATTGGTTTACCATCCATGAATTCATCCAGCAGGCCTTCTGGTTTTGATCAGCTGATGCTTTGAATTGCGTTCTATAATCTCAAAATAGGGTCAGGCTAATCAACATGCTGCTAACTGTATCGGGCTTGTGTATCGGGAACAGCAGAGGTGAGAAGGCAACCATAGAGCTCAAAAAGTGCAGTTCTGCTTTGAAGTTCACCTGGATAATTACAATTCTTCTGTCAGTGCCTCTAGGTGATAATTTTATGTAATGATCTTTGTTACATAAGCAAGCAATTAATGAATATCTTGTTTATTTCTAATAGAGAAATTACAGACATCACTGAAACTTGTGGAAGAGAATTTAAACTCATACTTCTTACTCTAAGTAAGATAGTCATATATTATTCATAATTCATGTTCTCTCTTCAGTTCATATGCACTGTTCCTCTTGGCATCAAGGTATGACTGGGGCTACAAGGCACTACTGTAACAGAGAAGAAATATTTATGATCTAGACCGATTGAATTTGTATCTGAAGAGAATAATGTAAAGTAATGTGGATAGGACCATTATCTTAATGCAGGGGAAAAACAATGTGGACATGAGCCAGGCAGCAAAAGGGAATAGGAGAAATAGTTTCACTGTGGTGACTTTATTGCTTTGGAGGATTAATTCCAGTTGGAGTGGAATGTCTGTCAATCTGTAAACTCATTATTCAGTTCAGACACTCTGGTGAGCACACTGATAACGCTAGTTGTTTGGGATGGATGGTTTGGAGATCAGTCATTGCCCTGCAGTTGCCTTTAAGAGGTTTAACAGGGTGATATTGTATCTAAACCTCTGAGTCTAGAGGGCAAAAACATGCTAAGTTCTTGTGGGTTTTGCTCTCCACTTACAAAACCCTCCAATTTGTGAAAATGGCTCATTCATAAAGATGTTCTGAGGTTTAAAGTTCAAGTGCTCGAAGATTAGAGTCATGTGAAGCAAGCTGGAGGGGTGTTGCTACCCCTCTGGATGCTGCCAGCTGCCCAGTGGCAAACATCATGACTTCTTGTGAAAGTTTCAGGGTTTCTTTTCTGCAGGTTCTTCTGCTTAGTCACATGAGCTTGATTTGTGGGAAGACTGTTGCTCAGTAAGACTCCATAGACTGGGAGCATAAGGAGGAAATCAAACAGCGGCATGACTACAGAAAATACCCTGATGGCTTGAAAGGATTGCTTTAAAATTTCTGTTAGTATTTCCTGCACTTGATAGTTCTTTCTATTTGCAAATAATGTTGCATCTGTGAAATCTTCAAGATCCAGTAGTTCTGCTTGAGAAATAGATATGTATGTCTTTTGATCTCTGCTTACTGTCTGTCTTCATCTAGAGTAAGTAACAAAGAGGAAGAATGAAAACATTTAGCTTTCTTGCTCATTTACTCCACCTGTAATAATGCTTTTAAAATAGGACTGTTTGGTTTGGAGAGCAAAGTATAACCTCTTTTTCTAGCCTTCAAAAAGCTGTAATGTTGATATAACTGATGTAGAATAAGGGTGTTAGAAAGATAAAAGATACCACCTTTAAGAGGTTTGTAATGTCTCTCTCTATATATATGTATCTCATAGTAGTTACTATATTCTAAATAAGAAAAAATTTCAAAAGCAACAGAAATATTTAGGACTTAAATAAGCAGGTCCCTGTCCAGAGAGATACCTTTTGCTTTCAGTGTTGTGGTAGCCCTGTTTACTCTGGTCTTCATAGCTTCCCAGATGTAGTTCTGTTTCCAGCAC